GAAACTTCAGCTGATACCAAATCCTGTCACATACGGTATGTTCATGTGAAATGAAAAAAGAGTGTGATATTCACATGCACTATTTCTAACTGTAGCAAGTGAAAAAGCATGGGAAAAGGGTTAAAAACATCTTTGGGACTCTAGTTACAAGGAAATTGAACTTACACTCAGGGAAGGCGGGTTTGTGGTATTGCCTTGGCATAAGTAGTACTGGAGAAGTCAACTTGCCTTTCCAGATCTCAGTTTTGTCTATTTGCAAAGCAGAAATAAGACTGTTTCCTTAACTTTATAAAGCAGTTTGAATGTATGGATAAAAGAACAAAAGTTCCATGTTCTTATTATAGACTTTCAGGCTGCTTCATACCTAAAAGGGCTAATGCTGAGTTTTTTCATGGTTTTATATTGTATCTGTTTTTATTTAACAGTTTGACCCCTAGACTATCTTTAATGGGTTGAGTATGCAATGGTTAAGTCAGTGAAGTCTGGTAACAACACCTAGAAACAAAGATGAGCTTGGCATTCACAGTAGCATTTAGGGAAATAGCTAGTTTCCGTATTCCAGAACATGATTCCAAGTTATCCCAAGCTACTGAAAACAATTGCTTCTCTGACCAGGGCACTGAGTGACTTTTCCTTCAAATTCAGAATGCCAGTGTTTCTGCAGATGGGGAATTCTGCATTTCAGCCAGTTGTAATCCTTGCACTACTTGAGATCTAAGCAATAGTATTCACTAATTTTGAATCTATGATTGGTAAGTTAGACTAATTTGGGTTAGTAAAAACCTACATTGGTAAGTGCTTTGGCTTAGCCTTAATAGAACATTTGATGGTTTGTGGCATTAACAAGGATTTTTTTTTCTGGTGTGGTTAAATTTCCCGCAGACCATTTTTAATGAGGTTGGAACGAGCTTGATTGGGAAATTTAACGGCTTTTCCAGTTTCCATGCCTCTTTGCCAAGCTGATCGTGAAAGCTGCTCTTTCATGATGTGTGAATTTCTCTCCATTCGAAGAACTAACATCAGACGCAACGCAGAAAGCAGATTTTAGAAATGAGCTATTAAGCAGAGAGGAGGCACTTTTAAGATGCCTGCAAGTTGCACAGCAACCAGAGGAACATACAGTCATTTGATTTCTCATATGACTCTGACTTTGACTCAAGGGGAGAACAGATTTATTCTCTCCTTAAAGTTTTCTATCATATGTGATAAAGAAAATAGGTTTATACATTTCCCCAATCAAAAAAGAAGTGGTACCTGATCTCAGAGCAACAGCAGTATCTATTATGATGTAAATTACTGCAGAACACATCTGGTCACAGCTGCTGTTGGAGATCTTGCATGACAAAATGCAGCATGTTCCGTATCTTCTAGCTTTTAAACGTAACATGTTGACTCTTCTGAAATCATAGATAAAAAAACAACCAACCAGACAAGAATCAACGCTTGATGCTTTTTCAGTTTCTATACAATTGGGTTTTTCATTACGGTCCCAGATTTGGCATTTTACAATAACATTTTCTGGTAGTTATGGGCAACAGGTCTTTGCTGTTTTCTGTAGATCGCCACCATATCAACTATTGCCCAGTTGCTGGTGCATGCATGTAAGTCGATTCCAAATCAAATAGACTTCTGATTTTCTTTTCTGGTATCCTCCGGAGTAGTCTGTCATTCTATGCCAGAAGCAGCAGTCAAGTTCATTCTAGTAATAGCACATAAACGTCCAGCTTCATAAATGCCTGCTATTCTATTTTCAATACTCATTTTGATCAGTTCATCTATTCAAACTACCCAGTCCAAAAATGCTCTGATTCTGATCCAGGCACCCTGTTACAGCATGTAAAATACATTCGCAAAATCTAAAAATACATACAGAAATGAATGACTTTGTCAGACCTTGTCTGACCTCCATCATGTGTTAATTTGCTTTTTGAAACACTGTTCACACCAAAAACCCGTTTTCAGAAAGAATTGGGCAAAGATGTAAAAGCTGCAGAAAAAGAGGAAGAGATCATCTTTGTTATTTGATTTTTTTCCCTCTCTGAACGCTGTTCCAGGAGTTCTTCCCAGGTTATGTCTTCAGGTACTGCCAGGGCTCTGGAAAAGCGTCTCCAAGTGCCTCTTGTCATCCGAATGGGGGCTTAAGGTGCCACCACTACCTCACGCTGTAGGGATAAAACATTCAGGAGGCCACATCGACGAATTCGGCTATTGCCTTTGAGCGTCTGATAGTGAGCATTTTTTCCTTCCACATGACTTTGGTTTATTCCTTTTGAGTATAGCAGGGATAGCGCTCTGCTTGTATAGAGCGCTCTGAGAACTGTGCACAAAAAGTCCTTGTGCATACAAAATAATATTGGGCAGTTTCGGCGATGGATGAATATTTTAAAGATACGGGTGTGCAAAAGCTTTTATTAAGAAATTGTCTCTGTGGCATCAGATCTGATCCCCTGGTGACTAAGACCTATGGAAAGCTCTAGGTACCAATATTTTAGACATGATGAGAAGAGCCTTGCACCCGTCTCATAAAGGCACACGTGAGGGCTGATTCATTATCAGCCCAGGCCATGTCTACGCTAAATATAATAGTGCTGACATCTGAGCTTCTGCTAGGGTAGAAAAAAAATCATGCCAGTTTGGGGTACTCTTGTATTCAGAAGCCAGTCCCTTTGCCACCATGGCATGATCCTTCCAGGGAGATGGTTTAAATTATAGTGGTGGCAGAATGCTTTGCCTGATAACATCTGGCTTCCCAGAGGGGGGAAGAGGAGTGTGTTAGCAGTACATCGCTCCCAGCGAACCCTTTTAAATATAGACAATCATCTTTGGGTTACTCACCGCTTTGAGTCTGCTTTATAAAATTTCTTTGAGGTCAGTTCGCTGTGAAGAATGCTCCTAGTACTATTGTGTCAATTAGGAGTCAGATCCTTTTTGATACAGCCATATCCTGCCATAAAAGTGGTTATATTGTTACAGGATTATTTTTGCTGATACCTGTATCTGTGCTAGGACAGTTTTTCTGGTTTAGCTTCAGCAGTATAATTGTAATATGCATCCTTAGAACAAAATTTGAGGTTTTTTCTTCAACTTGTAGAGCCCAGTGAAAAATCTGAATTCAGCAGATGAGAAGGATAACTTCATTAAGATGGATTAGAAATTAAATACAACAAGAAAAAAATATATATCTTGATCTTACAGGCATCACTAATTGGCTGTGGGAATAGGGTCCGTAAAGAGCATGTTTCTTCTGAAAAGTTCTGAAGTTATGGGCCTTTCCAGGTGTAATCAAGAACATAAAGTCTTCTGGCACAAGCCAGAAATATCCTGGCTTGAGTTTGAAAATACAAGGGCTGTTAGGTATTAAAAACATCTTAAGTAGTTGCAACCTGAGCATTTCTGGTATGAAGTCACCAAGACGCAATAAATCACCATCATGAAGCTGTTTTTTCAGAGTGAAAGTAAACTTTCAAGTGTCATTTCTGGTCCGATGATCAAAGGTTTCTTTTTTGCCTCTGCTTAATCTCTGATATTTTACAACTGCTCCCTTACTCAAAAGTGAGGCATGTTTACAAATGTGCTGTCCTGCTTCCCAACAGATGTCACCTGGCTGAACTTCACATTTCTGTGTGCTGTCTCATACCCAGCCCAGCCCACACAGCCATATGCTGGCCTCCTCATCCAAAATCATGTGCACCGCCCCACGCACTGCTGGATTCGTTCTCTCTCCTTGCCTCTGACACACACGCATCCGTGCCGGCACACGCATCCGAGCTTTAATTCTGAATTTCCCTCCTGCCTTGTCTTCTGGTCACTTCTCAAAAATGCTGACAGTGGTCTGGTTGAGAGAGTCAAAACCTGAAACATTTTGAAAAGAAATTTTCTGGAGAAGAATAGCATAGGACTAGAAAAGGCTCGTAGGAATTTTAATTTTATCATTCTTGCACCAGGCTTCATGTGCAGCGAGTGACTGATCTGCAGCGCATGCTTCAAATAGAAAAGCCCTCGTAGAAGAAATCTGAAATCCTGCCTAGGAAAACAAAAAGAGGGAGCGGGAAATCTCCTTACTTTCTCCTTTCTCTCTCCAAAAAGATGCCCTTCTGCTCCCTAGCCAGCCTTAATATGAGGGACTGTGTGGACTCTTCCACGCTCAATGACTAGGAGCACACCTGAAGCACCCGTCAGTAGTAACTTAGCCTACCAAATTCTCCCCCAGAGAAGCTGCCCCTGGAGAACAGTTTTGGAAGGCAGAATTGTTTACTTCGGACTTTAGTTCAGTGATGTCCTAAGACTCGGTCATACAGTGAGTAGCATCTTATTCTGAAATACTGTTTCTTTGGGAGACGGGGAGAGGTGAAGCCATGATACTGTGTCTCATCTACCCTTCCATGCTGTCCTGGGGGATGGTTTCTGTCCAAACAGAGGCAGTGTGACTGTGCCTGGCCCTTTACTGGGCAGGAACAAATTTATCAGAGTAATATTGGAGGTTGTGACCTGCCAAAAATACCGTTTGTTGTTTGTGCACAACAGACGGTGCATCCTCGCCATGCAGAGGGAGGGTGGGTCTAGTCAGGCTAGGGGGTAAATATGATGGGCCTCTTATGCTATTCATGTGCTTCTCCCTGCTCAGATTTTGTCCCGTGTAGCGTTTATGCTTGTACTTGGTTCCTGTTGTCACATGGAAGGCTAATGGCAGGAAAGGTAAGGAAAGGTGGCTTGGAGCTGAGAACCCAGCAAGAGCTGAGGACGTGCATGTTCTGCCTTGGACCTGCATCTGTAGTTTGCATCAGGTGCATGTTAGCTCCTGGTTCTCTGAAACAGGATTTTCACCTATAAAAAGAAAGAACTAGTCGAAAGGCTTCCCATCCAGTCCTGAGCATACAGCTGATAAATCCAGGCGGTGGAAAGCAGGGGCATCAGCCATACAACTCTGAGCCACTGGAGTGATTGTCATGAGGCCAAGATCTAGGAAAGCCCGCTAACGTTTCTTTTTTCTTCCTCCTCAGTTTGTTGCTCAGCCAAACTGCCAGCAGCTACTAGCAACTCTTTGGTATGATGGCTTTCCAGGATGGAGGCGGAAACACTGGGTGGTAAAACTCTTGACCTGCGTCACCATCGGACTGCTATTTCCTGTGCTTTCCGTGGCATACCTGATTGCACCGAAGAGCAGGCTGGGACTGTTCATTAAAAAGCCATTTATAAAGTTTATCTGCCACACCGGATCTTACCTAACCTTCCTCTTCATGCTCCTACTGGCATCGCAGCACATTGTCAGGACTGACCTTCATATGCAGGGACCGCCTCCCACCATTGTGGAGTGGATGATCCTGCCCTGGGTTCTAGGTAAATCACAAACACCAAAATGCCTGAGCCACAGTTGCCTGACTCGCACCCATGGTAATTGTGTGGCGGTTCATTGCTAAGCTCAGCATCATCAGCCCGTAAAGAGATTTGGCAGCCAACTTCCTAAAACAGCTGGGCTCCTTCTGGAACAGCAGATCCTGTTGGCCTGGGGCTGTTGTGATGCACATGTTGCCATCTGACGTGCCTTTAGACATGACCCTGAGTAAACTGCAGCAGATACAGCTCTCTCCCGGCTTCCCCCCGCTCTGTGTGAGGCACGGGTGTAGGAATTAGCGTCTAGGTTGTGCTGGTAACAAATGGGGTCACGTCTAATGCTGGCTGAGCTCTGCTGGCTGGCACTTGGCAGGAGGTAAAGCCAAGAGACGGTGTATGCTTTCTCCTCCCCCGGGGTCAGCATGCAGGTACCAGGTACGTCCCTAATAGCCCACAGGACAGCAGAAAAGGGAGGAGAAATCTCACTTTGCATTATGCCCTGTGCTGATAAACGCTGACCAAAAAAAAAACTGAGCACTCTACTATAAGCAGAAGGAGGAGGGAGTATTTATTATCAAAATGTCAAATGGGAGGCTCTAATCCCAGTGTGGCTTGGGCAACTGTAACTGTGAAGCAAAGGAGATGTCTGTGTTCCCTGAGGGTGGAACGTACAGATGAGGTACTGAGATGGGATGGGCGAAAGTGGATAGACCCACTGAGGGAGAAGAGCGGGGAAGCAGTGTTTGATGCATTTTTGATGAGCGAGGTAGTTACCCTTTCAAACTCAGCTCAAACACAACAGCAACTGAAAACCTGGGAGCTCATTAGAGGCACAATCTTGCCTCAAATTTGGCTCCCATCTCCCTTGCTCTGTTGTTAAGATGTAGTATCACTATGAGCTGGTGTGTTACTGGGAGCACTTGTTGGGAGCGATGGTTTCCACACCTTTCTAGCCCTTATCCAGCCTCTGTCTGTACATTCAGGTCAGGCCAGTGCATCTCCCAGATGCCAGTAGAAACAGTGGATTGGGGTCAGTGGCCTGGAAAGCCACGCTGAAATTTTTGTGCGGGTAGCATGATGTAAGGGGATGGGACACCTCCCTTAGCAAACGTCAATCTCCAGCGCTCTCCTGATGGCTCCTCACTGCTTCTCGTGGGTCACCTCTGCTTTCCTCCATGCTTACCAGCTTCTACCTCGTAACGCCAGGCCCCAGCTCCTCCTTCGGCGCTGGCTCTGAGCGAGGCTGGGTGCGGTGGCCAACGCACCTAGCTGTTTGCTGTACCAAAACCAACAATGCTAAGAAAAGTAGAGAAGAAAACAGAGCTGCAAACATGCTCACAAATCGCTTCCTGTCATCACCCAGGGCATTTTGCTCCTTGCGTAGCTCCATCACAACTTATGAATGGTAACTCAAGCCTCGTTATCTTACTGATCTAATTTATGGCATTGAAATACCTGGCTTAGTAGAAACTTCAGAATAAGCTGAGAAGGTTAAAAGTCTTTTCCGAGCTTACATGATCTCTTCACTTCATCCTTAACTTCATGGTTTAAATTGAGGGAAATGGTGGGCATTTCAATAAAATTGATGTGCAGATGAAGGAAGGATAATCCATAAAGAAAAAAAAAAACGCCCTTTCAAAATAGCCTCTCACAGTTGTCTGCTTTTCTCTTTGTTTTCTTTTGTTTTGGAAAAGTAGGGATATTGTGGGACTGTTTATTAAATGGAGACGTTAGAGCAGTTTCACCAGATTAAAGGTTATTATTTATGAAATACCTTCTGCTCTAAAAGGAGGGAGAGAACAGGCATACACAGCATTGCTGTAACTATAGTAACCAACAGTGATAACTCACTATAAATACAGTATAAGAGTTCTTCAACAGGCTCCTTTCCATTGATTTATTTTATTGTATGTTTTTGAGTGCATGCAAGGATTTGGAGGCAGTTGTAATAAAATTACCTTATTGGCCTTGACATTATATTTGCCTGACCATTGACCTGCCGTCTGGCAGATGAAGAGCTAAGACTGATACTTTGATGTTTCCAGCAGTTTATTTCAGCCTTATCTGCTCTTCAGATTCAACTTGCTGGTCCTAAAACTGAGTGGCAAGCGGCAGTTCAATTTAAGTGACCACTGAGGTATCCTGTGGTTGGGTCTGGTTAGCAGTTTGGGTAACTGTATTGACTGTACACCTTGAGGTGTACCCTGTTTTTTTTCTTTTCACACTTAATGTTTCATGTCTTCATTCAAGGATTATAGTGTAAACTGAGTAATTCAAACTATCTGGGGACTTTGAGAACAATTCTGAGAAGCATGTGGCTGATGGAGGAGCCTAGCTGCCATTTGCTTTTCAGTGGGACTTAGGCTCTCAAAATTATTTACAGAGCTCTTGAATAAAGGATATGGGCGCGTGAGTTACTTCAAATGAAGATTTTACCCCAGGTGAGTTTTGCAATCTGGTAATGAACCACAGAGCTTCCCGCTTACCCTTCCAGTTGCAAGGAGCCGGTAGCGAAGGTGAGCAACTGCCAGGAATTATTACCAGAAGGCATTTCAGGGTAGAGATGATGGGCTCTGGCCATATCCTGGGGAACAAATACTCAGCTCGCAAAACCCATAGCCTCATCTGGCATTCGGTGAGTCACTGTTCAGAGGCGCGATGCCAGGTTGCAGTGCCCTTTCTCGTGCTGAGTTGTCCCTTTCTTCACAACCAGTCCCTCTGGGCTTTTCGTGCCGCAAGACCCATAAAGACAGTGGTGGGGCCCAGAGGATGAACTCATTTCTTCCTTCTTTGGGGTGATATTTCCAGGTCAGGGAGGAAATGTACTCGCACGCAGAAGCTGGTATTAGGGTCACGTGTTCTGCAAAGAAAGGCAGGAGAAATCAGCTGAGCAATGAATTACATACAGATTCTATGGGGGCAGACAATCTATTAGAAACTGTAACAAATACAGTCCCTTAAATAGTTTATGCATGGAAATCACATTTTATCTGAGCCAATCCACTCACTCTAGTTAAAATTAACGTATGTCTCTGGCATTTGATACACACTGCTTTAATGGAAATAATATCTTCTCCTGCCAATGAACTCTCTCTCTTTCTACAGGTTTTATTTGGGGAGAAATCAAGGAAATGTGGGATGGAGGATTCAATGAGTATGTACATGACTGGTGGAATCTGATGGATTTTGCAATGAACTCCCTCTATCTTGCAACAATCTCCCTTAAAATTGTTGCCTATGTCAAGGTACAGTAACTTAGGACATGTTTATGGGAACTGTAGTACACAGGATAGAAACTGTCCACATCAAAATTAAAAGATCAAAGAGAATAGCTGAATTTTGAAAATGCACTTGGAAAGATTATGAATTTGTTTGGAGAATGATTTTTTTTTTTCCTTCTCATCCTTACTGCTTGGTTAAGATTGAAGTATTTGGGCTATTTGGGTGAAGACTGAAGTTTTTTGGCATTGGGTAGAAGTTCCCCCACTTGCTGTCTGTGCTGTAGCTACTCATCTGACAAAAGATGCATGTTGTTTTCCATACTGCCAGTGGGCTTCCTTCAACATTGCTAAATCCACTGAAAACATGACTTTTATATAAAACAATGAAGAAAAAAAGAATAAGGTTATCAGAAAACTCCTACAGCCAAGATTTACAATTATAGTCTCTGAGCCCCTACAGATCTGTAGATTAGTTATCAGGAGTCTGTGAAAAGTCTGCTGAGAAGCACAAGGCTGCTGGTAGGAGGTTTCCATCTGAAATAAAGGAGTCAGCTTCTCCTCTTGAAAATGTATAGTTTTAAAGTGCAGGCATGGAAATGACAAAGGAGGAAGCTGGATCTTTAAAACTGTGTTGTAGATCCTTTACTGTAATGCTCCATTTATGGGGAGCGTCCGTATCAACGTTCATCCTCTAAAGCACTTTTCATATTTATAAACATACGATGCCCTACGTTAATGCATGCGCAGATTTGAAGCCAGATGGCCTGAAGCGCTTGCTCTCTGACTCTCTTTTTGGAAGACACAGAGAACACGTGAAGCACCTCCTGCAAACCTCCTTAGGCAGTGGCTCTCTGTGACTTCAGTTGCAACTGTGTGGTCAGGTGGCTTCGAGGAC